ATTCGAAGGTAATTATCGATATTCGATATTCGATTCGCTACGAAATTCCGAATAACTAACTTTAAAACACGTATTTTAAACGAACCAAATACGATTTTCTTTTTAACTTCTCATGAAAGACTCTGATCCAAAGATCTCAAACCACCAAAACTACTATTTTTGGCTTAAATTTACCAAAGAAACCTTCTAAAGAGCATGAATCATTCCTAAATATACACACACGATTTGTAACTGTTAACAACAGTATCTTATTGACCTGTAGATGGTTTCTTAGGTAGTCATAGATAAGTGTTGAAGTTTCAAACATCATGCAGAAAAATGCTAGAAATATCAAGTTCTGTTGAATTGTGACGTACAGTACAGAGGAGATGAGGAAGGCAGGTATATCACTGCTTTTCCATGTGTAAAGACGTTGGATCTATGTATAAAGATGCTCGCTTTTTCCAACTTTTGTTGCTGAAAAGGCACGGTGGGCTGATGTTTTTTTTATGTTAAGAGTCAGTAGCAAACAATGTAGGAGGAATCGATCAATTTTGGACCCCAGTTTTTTTGTGAACAATAGTGACAAAGGTGTTACAACAAATGATTTTTATAACGTTTGGGAAGATCAAGAAATAGCAGCTAGGGCTCTTGTAACACATTAATTTTGAAGACATTTTTCGTACGAATGAATTTGTTGATTATTCATGTACAGTTTTCCTAGGGTTTCAATATAAACAACTATACGTAGCGAAATTCATATGTGGCATGGGATCATCGAGGCCTGTTAAGCAGGCACGGGTGAACCAGGATTACTGTCCCGTGGCGATGCTATAACAAATGGGGCCATGAATGGCAGGTTAAGAACAATCGCATCCCAGAATCCTTTGCCAGTCTACTACGATAAAAAGAAGTTAATCCGCTATGTTGTAAGGATTGGAATGCTATGGACTTTAGAAGGAAAATAGAATGGAGAAAATTACGTGTCCGGATGTATGATTAGATGGCTTTTTAAGGGGACTATATGCTTTGTTCCTCTTAGGAAAATAAAGAGCTTTCATTTTTACTGATAATTGATACTGGTGGAAGATACTGAGATAAAAGAGGCCTGACCATCATATAACATTGCTTACCATGTCCTTCCATACATTATTGAAACTCCTATCTGTTTGAAAAGTTTTTTTATAAAATCTTCATAAACATTTTGATAAAGTTATAGATCATTCCTTTTGCATTAGTGTATGTGTCCTGTCTTGATGACGCCTTTACTCGCACGAATTGTATTTCACATTATCTTCAATTGGAAGTTTTCAATTTGAAACGAAAGTTTTCAAATGAAGGTAACCTTTGTGATTATCTTTGTCTTGTTCAATTTGGCTTAAGATTAAAATATTTGCTACTAAGTCTCTTTGGGCCTTGTTAAACGTTTGCTGAGAAGTGTATTCGCGTCGTTTCCAAGAGCTATCCAAATAAAGCAGTTTGAATTCTTCAACGGATTTAAGTTTTTGCAAACAAAGATTTGCCAATGTTTACAATGCTTTTATCTCTATTTTTTGTTTTTAAAGAATAATAATCGTTTAATGAAATGACTTTAAATCTTTCAATAATATTTTAACCTCCATTTTTAGTCACGAAGGCTTAAAGGAAACTTAAAGGTAATCTACTGATATAAAAGTGGCTTGAGCCACCTGTCAATGAATATCAGCCAATCAATGAGCGTGTGAGTGGAATTGCACTGACTGATTGATCACTTTTTGATTGAAAGATTGCTTGAGCATGGGCTCCGACAAAAGTTGAAAAGTGGGGAGGGGGGGCAAGGGAAAATTTAACACCCATAACAAAAGATTTTGAAAAAAACTCTATAGTTTTGCAAAAAAGTGGGGGGGGCCAAGGCCCCCCTGGTCCCCCTTCGTCGGAGGCCCTGTTAAGCCCCTTTAGTATCGGTCGATTGCCTTTAGTTTCTATACTGATTTATAACTGTTCTTCTAACACTTGTACTTGTAACTAGTTTTCACAATAAGGTTCATACGACTTGGCAAAAATAATTCAGTGTGACGCAAGGTTCTTGCCTAGGTTTGCTGCTATTCAATGTCTGCTATTCTTTTTCATTTATATCCGGCAAAAATGGTTGGTGGGCTTTCGCTCTGCTGCAAAGATTACACATAGGCTGGGATTTTACCAGTTGTTCAACCAATGGTCTGTGATCTTCAGCTGTATGAAGCAGCTTCTAAGAAGTTCACTCACGTAGAGTTAGTCAACGTCAATCACGGGAAAATATAAACAAATTTACTTTTAATAGCATTGCAAGTTTAAGACTACACAAACACTTTAACTGGCTTTAAGGCAATTCAATGTTAAACTTAAGACTTGAGGGGGTCAAATGAGATGTGCAACTTAGTATTTACGCTTTGGTATATAGAACTGTCCGGTTCTATATACCAAAGCATGTGCAGCTCTGCCTGAATCGCATCAAGCACTATATGACAAATCAAGATAATTAAAACAGTAATTTTCTTATCCGTATTTATTGGAGATAAGCTAGAAAAAAGTGATCCTAACAACCGCAGTAGACAATTAAGGAGGTTTTCAAGCTGAAAATTTGTCTACAGAAATTTTCAGGGATCACACGCAATGCAATGGCCAAAATACAATTCCTGTAAACAGTACGATACCCAAATTGTAGCCATGTGTGATATGATGTAATGTGTAGACACACTCACACACATGACCAAGAACAGGACGGATAACCCTAAGTTTCTCGCTTAATGCGATCACCAGGCAACTGTTCCTTAGCACGTGATAACCCCGATCATGTTATAAGCTTTGGTTGGAATTAAGATACATTTTTATAATAATTAAATTAAAATAATAAAAATCTAGGATCAAGTTGATAAATTGAAGCTCACCCTGAGTTAATGTGTGATTGTTTCTTTGATGCATAGGCAACCAAATATTTGCAAACTGCACCAATATTTGGAAATTGCTGTTGAGAATAGCTATTGGTTGCTAAGGAAGGATATTCTTGCTCGATTCAAAGCAATCACCCTTGCAGTTTGTGGCAAATAGTGTTTGTAAATATTTGCTGTGTTTTAACAAAGGGAATTGTGGTGGAGAGCTCAGTAGGGGTATGGGTAATGCTGGGTGGGGTAAAAAAGAAACATTATTGTCCATTTCTTTTCTCTTCTCTTGTCTGTTCTTCTAATTATTCTGCTTTTTTTGTCCTACTCCTACTTCTTCTAGATAAAAAATACGTCGTGAAAGAAGTTATAATTTGCAAATAAAATAAAAAATAGAAAGAAACAATGCAAATTGCTAATCGATGTTCACGCAAAATTGAGCCACCATAAAATGGTCAATTTTTGTTAGGGGTGCTCTAAACATCCATCAGCATCCCTCTTTGGTATACGTTGCTGCCTTTCAGTCCATGCTTTTATTTCTAAGAAACTTGTTTAGACGATTTTATAAACATTGTTACTTAAGCTGGTTATCTTTTGAATCCCCCTTTATGCAGCCTGGAATACTTTCAAAGTGCTATTACCAATCTTTGTCCTTCTTGACAATGCAGACTTCAGGATTCTCTAATACGCAGAAAGTTAAGTACTGTTGACGTTTGAAAGGACGAGTCCCCCGCTTCAAGCAGGAGGAAAGGGTCCATGCTAATGTAAGTTCTATATTGACTTGTTATCTTACTAAGGTTTTGTAGATGTATGGCCGGGGCTGCGCCTTGTGGTGGGGCTATTTTGGGATCTAACTGTATATTGTAGATACTTCAAATAGAATCATTCAAAAAGTATATGGTCGCGTAACTTATTAACAACGTGTTATCAGGACAAAAGCAGGGACCATATTTGGCCCACTTTGGCGAAAATCTTATATAATCGTCGTATATACGAAAGTAGATTGTCGTATTATGTTGTATATCGAATGGTTTACTAGAGTATATGACCTACTACGATAGTATATCATCGTATGCTGTTGTACATCATAGTTTATCAGGATATAGTATATTTGACTATGAAACGTCTTCATATGCTATTTTTTATATCGTATACAACGGTTTGTCATTATCAAGTACTCAACAAGCATTTTATCACAAGATAAAGTTACCCGGGTTAAAAAGTATCTTATTGAAAGATAAATTCTTCTTCTGTTGCTTCGATATATTAAGTATCAAAAACCAAGATGCCAAAAATTTCACTGAATTTATTATAGGTGGGAAAAAATTATGTCAAATTTCGAAATTTCGGTTTATATTTGGGCGAGAGCTTGAATCATTTTGGTGGGAAGAAACACACTTGAGTGCTTATATTACTTGGAAGAGAGCGAAGGAACAAAAAGTGAAGATGAGCTGGGAATATTTTGCTGATGATAAAGGAGAGGCAGAATCTGAAAATTGCCACTGATGCAAATTGCAAGTAGTGATGCATAGTCAATGTTTGCCGCGACATTTATCACAATGTTTGCCGTACCAAATTTTCGATGCAGCGTTCAATAACGGGTGGCGTTTTTCAGAGGGCGACGTTTAATACAAAATAAAAAGTTTGTCAAATAGGTAAAATTGTGTCTTGTGTCCGTTTCCCCTAAATTTTCTTGGTAGCAGCGTCAACTGCAATTCAACATAAGCTGCAGATTTTTTTAACATTCAAAAGGCATGATAAGATGGGAAGAGGGATCTGAATCCACAACCAGTTCTGCTTAGTAACTGACAATATGGTATTCTTCGAGACCACGACGAAATTGTGCCTGTTGTTTTTATTTCCTGTTCAATTTTTTTGCCAAAAAATAATTTTCAATAGGACTAAGAGGATTTCTTCAGTAAAATGTGCTTAAAAGAGTATATTTTCCAGGGAACTAGAAGCATCAAAATTCGAAAATTTTCTTTCATCTTCGACGGCAACCATGGTGCCGCCTCGGGTAGCATCTTACATCCTTTGCCCGTCCCGATATAGAGTTTTGACAAAAATATTAGGAAAGTCCGTTTTTATCATATAGAAATGAAAGTAGTTGCGAATTATATTCAGAGTTAGATTGACAAAATGTATTGCAGAGGTTTGTCACAGCAACCAAAGAATTTCATGAAAATTTTTTTAATCAGGTAAATTTGTAGTCCACACCCTCACAACAAGGCTTGCCTCGCGACGGCCCTGACCCTCTACTTTCAAGTTAGGGGTCTGGAACACAGGCAACCAATGAATAGAACCCCATCAATTAAAAACTGACGAAGTTGGACGTGTTCAACTTCTTCAGTCAAAAACTGACGTTCATTAATACATCAGTTTTTGTCAGTTTTTGCTAAATATACGATCAATTTTTGACTGAAAACTGTCAGTGAAAAACGATAAAAACTGATCGTGTATTTCAGGCTTAAGTCCTTAATCTTATTTCTTTTCTTCTACAACTCAGCTTGTTATTGTCCTCTTTATTTCACCTGCTCTTGCAACGGTCCTCCATACACACAATCATCCTAATAGAAATGAAAAATGCCAGTCAACATCTGTATGGAAAATCGTAAGCGAAAAGGGGGATTCTAAGAAGGGGAATGACTTTTTTGTCCCTGCCAATAAAGTTTTAATCCATTTAATGAGACAAATATCTTTAGGTTCTCTATGTTGTGTTGTCGGTTTCATTGAATTATCATTTTCTCGAAACAGAATCTATGATATGTGGATAGCAAACAGTGTTTAATCGTGTGAGTAGCTTGCAAAAAGGAAAATGTCTGTTCAGAGAGGTGTGTAGTGCTAGGGGCCTAGGGCCTAAGGGGGCAGCCCCCCTTTTTGATGCCGGAAATTGACAAGTTTCTACTTTTGCTATTGCTTTTTACAACGTGTATGCAAGGGCCCCCGTTGTTATTTTGAGGCACAGGCACTACACCACCGTGTTCAGCCCACAAGCCAAAACCACTTGCTGGTTTAAAGATCCTAAATTGTCTCAAGTGGTTCACTACGAACTTAGATTATTGAGGTAGTCAGAATGCTATTTGGGTTCTGTGGAAACAAAACCAGACCAGGCCAGTTTACAATGACGCTTGTCAGATTCAGGTTACTGTTGTACAGGATCTATTCTTCGGTGTCAATTGAAAGGGCCCAATAAACCAGATGCAAAGATTCAAAAGATTCGATTCTTCATAACAGGAAGCCAAGTTCAAGAATATGTTCGACCCCCCCCCTTAAAGCATATGTTCGACCCCTCCCCCTTAAAAGCATATCCTAACCCCCCTTTTCTTTAGGCGGAACTGAAAATGTTCCAGCTCCTGCTGTTGCATGTCGGTTATATATTTTCAGTCTTGCTTCTCCTAACCCTTCCTTCTTTACTACCTTAAAATCCGTGTTTCAGTCGAAAAAATGCCACGAATGGACCACTGCAGGGCCTCTGAAGAAGGGGGGCCGGGGGCATGGCCCCCTTTTTTTGCAAAACAAGCTTTTTTAAACATCATAACAAAAATTCTTTTGTTATGATTGTTAAAATCTTCCTTGGCCCCCCCCTCCCACTTTCCAACCTGCGTCGGAGCCCATGGACTGTTTATTTACCAATGTGAGATACACACTGCCAAGACTCACATAGTTAGTCCATTGTTCAAAATTTGCCGCGGGAAGAAGCAAAGCAACCAAAGCTATTCCAGCGGTCCAGCAAGGCGTTTGACTAGTAATTCTCTCGAGTAAATTATCGAAAATGGCGTACCAGCAGGAAAGGCCAAGACGAAAGAAGTCCGTTTTTCAAGCAATCGAAGTTTTAAGGTGAGGGAGTTAACGTTTTAATAGATATGGCGAAATGAGCAGCCGTAAGAAAGAAAACATTCTGTTGTGATGTAAGACACTTTATCTAGGGGCTTCTGATAAGACGAAGTCTGGTATTCTAGTACTCTAGTTTTTGGAATTCGCAGAATTATCAATGGATAACGAGAGACAGGAAGTTTCTACGTTCGAAGTTGACTTCTCTAGGCTAGGGTACTACTACAGTGGCTTGACAGGGTACAGTAATGAATGAGAAACTTCTTCTGAATGTTCGAAACTCACTTTAGCTGCGAACTGTTTCATGGGTCCGGTTAGCTTTCGATGTAATCATGCTACTACAATTTTTTTAAATCGCTTTCTGTTTCTTGTCAACAGACAAGTAGGACATTCTGTATCGTAGAACCGATCTAGCAAGAACACAGAGCCATATTGACATTATTATGCATCAGAGAGTCTGCTAGCTGTAATGAAATAAATAGAGACCTAATGACGATATTCCTATGTATTTCATCGTTTGGCCAAAGGTTGTGACTAAGAGACACGAATGCCCTGTCCTGTTGTGGAGCCTCCATTCTCGGATGTAAACAACTCCCACGCAATTGGAACAACATTGGAAATTCAAATAAATCATCCGAAAAATCACACACAACTTGAACCGCTTTAAAACACATCATTTTGCTTGCTAAAATGGATAAATTTCATATTCAAAAGCATATTTTTTCAAGTTTTAAGATCTTTAAGGTTGTCAAAGCTCACAACGGAAATTTGATTATGTCGTGGTTACCAGAAAGCCAAGACCCTTAACGCCGATATCGACAAGACGCGTTGAGTACAAATTTGTTCAATGTTATCAATTGTCTCTAAGTGATAGTTGTAATTGCAAAATTACACCAGATGAATTAATTTTTTGACCAACCCTTTTATCATCCAGACTAACGTCTCTACTCTTCAAGGACTTAAATTGAGGGGACAAGGAGTTGGAAAGTTTGGTCATCAAGAGGCATAATGCCCATTTGTTCAGCCGCTCCTGTTTACTTTCTTCTGTCATAGTCACGAGAGAATGTTTTTCTCCCTTCATGATGTTCTCCCTTCTCCTGTTATTTTGCTTTCGGCGAGAGTATAATCGTTTTGTCAAAGCGTTGTCATGAACACAACTATGCCACGTTTAAGCTTCGTAATTTTTCACATAATATTTTTCATAAACTTTGTTTGTCATCCTCTATTATATCTGTAAAGGACCTGATTTGCTCCTGAAGGCTTATGCAGATTCCTTGAAATCGTAGAACAAACTTTAGGAAGTATTGAGTCAAAGAAAGCAGCTCTTTTGATCCCTCTATTCTATATCTGTTTGACTCCATTCCTTCTAGGTATGTACGATCATAGGCGTAGACTTGCGTTTTTTTCAGGGGGGGCTCAAAAAGTTAATGACAATTCCTAATGGCAGCTGCTGGTGTCATAGGATAGAAAATGGATTAGCTAAGGGCTTAAAGGTGATTTTTTCGTGCATTTTTTATTATCGAGGAAGAAGAAACACACATGAGATGATGGAAAGTGTATTTTTGAATCATAATCAGTTTCTTTAGGTTGAGATCATCAGTTCTATTTAGGCACACAAAATGTTTATGCGTTGAACCAATAATATAACAAACTAACCAAAAAATTGGTGAAGCACTTCCTTATTTTCCAGGGGGGGGCTCAGCCCCCCCTCGGTTTTCCTCAGGAGGGGCTGAAGCCCCAGAAGCCCCCCCCTAAGTTTACGCCTATGTGTACGATCGTACAACTGTTAAAGATTTTCGATACACACGCAACATATTCATTGGAACCATTATATGGCCCAATATTTTAACAGGTCTCTCTTCAGCCTAGATCGACTTTATCAAATACAACAGGCTCCCTTCAATGGCTTGAAAAAGCTACAGTTCTTGCAAAAAAAAATTGGAACGTCACAACATTCACGTTCAAAAGCCCCAAGATTTAACTACCTTACAACACTGATCCCTTCAGTAGAAGTATTTATGCGATAAAAAAAACATTTCACGGAAAATCATATTGAATTCAGGGCAGGGAATTTTTTAAGGATTTTTGAGTAGTTTAAGTAAGAAATCAGTCAGAGTTACAAAATTATCAATAAATAATGGTACAACGCTTTAAACAATTGCAACAAAATGACTGCAAAAACATTCTTAAATGCATTTACAGCTTATCTAAAGGGCATGGTCGCCAAAAATTTCAAGCTCGCTTCGCTCGTAGCAGACCTTATCTTTCGGTGTTGCCACAGGGCTTTTAAAACCTGTCCGGCGGCATTGCTCACACTAAGCCTTGAAAATGATTATCCATATCATTGTACTAGGCAATCTAGAACAAAGCTTTTTCACCTTCTGGAATCTTGTTTATTTACCCCTTTAAAGAAAGGTTTTTTAACCCTTAAGAATCTATGTTAGGTTTGCTCTTAAAACCAGGGAAAAAGTAGGATTTTGCTTTTCAGTGGTGGGGGGGGGGGGAAATCGTAGGGCCTGGGGGGGAATTCCCCCACCACTGAGTATGTTAAAAAATGCCCTGTTTCAGGGCCTGCACCAATGATCCTAAATTGGAGGAGCCACAAATATAAATAGGAATAACCTTTAACCCCCTCTAGACCTAATTGTGGCAAACATTTTGCTGACACTGTTTTACTTGTGGACTTTGGTTCAATGTAGTTGTCGTTATCTAAAGGTTTATCTATTCAAATAACTTAAGCTGATATTCTTTTACTTAGCGAAAAAGAGGGGAGGCCATGGCCTCTTGGCTCCCCGGCCCCCCTGGGTGTGGGCCCTTGGTCAGTGCAACATTGTAATCGAGGAGAGGAAACGACTTTAACAACTTTAAAAATTTGTTTAGTCGTTCCAACGACTGTGGCTAGGATTGTATCTTCGCTTTTTCTCTTGGAACTCCTGTCCTCAGCTCTTCATCATTTGACTCTCCGAGGCTCTGGCGCCCAGAGAATATCTTGGTCCACATGGAACAAGGGTTCCTATTATATTGTAGTCTCTCTATTTTTGGGGTAATGTTACTCGATTCTAATTTCTAATAAAATGATCTATTTTAATTCAAAGTTATATATAATATCCAAACGGAGGAACGGAAATATTTTAAGATAATCCTTTTTTATTTTAGCACTGACTTTAGCGTTTATTATAACATCACAGACGAGGAAGATGTATTCAGATTCTTTTGCGCAGGGACTTACACAATCAATATGACTTTGAATTCAGTTTCCCAATTCAGCTCAGCACCAACAACAAATTAAGTAATCTCCAACTGATTATCTGCAATCGACAGAAAAGAAAATCGAGACTAAGAACAATGTTTTGGATATTTTCTTGACTGCCCTATTCTTGGTTAGAACCACAGAATAGAATTAGGGCAGAAGGGTCACTCCCTTCAAGAAGCTTTAGTCTTTCTTTAGTCCTAAAATATTTCGTGTTTGACATGGAAACGAGGTTACGCAACCCAAAGAGGTTCCAGTTTTAGGCCATCGCTCTTATGCTTTTGGAAAACGATGAAAACTGACATCTGGATTCGATCTTTTACTGTTTTGAAAATTTAATGCAGAGCAGTAACTTTCTCTCTCGACCTTCCTTGACATACTCACGGATGTTTATTGATAATGCTAGAAAGCAAAGTTGACACTGGCGTTGCAGCTTCCCCAGGCAGAAAAAAATTCTTGGATATAGGCCAATCAGAAAGACGCAAGCAAATGACCGACATAATTGTCTAATCAGTGCTGGGTGCCTGTAGAAAAATTACCACTGGATCCACAACTGGGTATATGCTCCCAATCGTGTTTTTCCATCGGGACCTTATTCTGACGTTTTATAGTCTGAGGAGTGTCAGACAAAACAGCTTCAAGTAGTATATTGTGAAATGTTTGCTTTTTTCAAAGCCATTTTCAAGTTCTGTACCGCCAAAAAATACCAAAGTTGTTATATCTGGGGGAAATGATCAATTCGATGAAGAAGATCTAAGAGAAACAATAACAGAATATGTTTCAAACATTAATAAACAATAATGATATAATTAATCAATATAAACAAATGGTATAATTAGCGAATTGTGCCCTGGTCCTTCCTACCAACGTGACCACGACAATGCGATTCCACACCATGTGTGAAAGTTTGGTCATGTCAGGGGTTTGAGCCCCATAACATGGCGGTGTCTGTGTTATGGTAAGTTTTAACTGCCATTTGATAAAAATTCTACAAGGAAACTTTAACTGACAAAAGATAAAACTTTTATAAAGGATATGAATTCTATGCACCAACTCAACTTATGGCCTCGTTTTGGGAATTTCTCCAAACTTCCTTATACGACTTTTTAAAGCCCAGGTTTGGTTTTACTATCATAATTTTAGACCGGATACTATTTTTCATATTGTTTTTGCTTGCATCTTAGATTTTATGGCAGGGGCTGCTGGTAGAGGAAAAAGTTGGTCATAGATTCCAAGAGGTCTGGAATCGCCCTACAACCCCCCTCCCTTTAATTGTCAAAATGGCTCACATTCACAAGCTAACTAAATTTTTTAACTTAACTTCAAAGTTATTTTGACTTTTTAATAGAAGGAATTTAATTTAAATCATTTTATCAAGATTTATCTAAAAGTGTCTCAGTTGAAGTTAACTAAAACGACCTAAAACTTAGGCAATATTTTTCTTGACACACAAACAAGTTATATTTGTAAACTGGTTGAATTTTAACCACGTTTGCGGCCCTATATTAGTTTACAACGGGATATGCATGCCAAAAATAGCAGCAAGCGATATTTAATTTTTAAAAAGTCCTGAAGTTTCTTTTTTAACAACTTGCTCTAGAAAAACTGCCTTATTTCGATAGGTTGCATATTATTATTGGATTAATAGGAATGATTCTCTAAAAACACCACATTTACCTCTAGGCATACATGACCTAAAATATGAACGCTTTAACTTTTGGATTCATTAAAAACATAGCCCAGACATAGCAATCCCTATCATTAAGAGTAGCCAGCTGTTACATAATAAACCGACCAACGGCTGTCTATTCTTGCTGAAGGGTCGCCTGGCTAGGAGTCAAAGGTTGTCTATAAAAGGTCCAACCATTAACTAAAGGAAGAAAAATCACTCCAAATAGTTTGGATTTTAGTGAGAAAATAAAACCTTTGACAAATCACCTTTAACCAAACATGGCAAAAAGAAATTCGTCATAAATCCAAGAATATTTGCTTGTTTAAAATGGAAATGTTGCTCCTATTATTAAACTCCGCAATGTAGTGATAATACCTTTGGATATGTTCCAGCTTATTCCGTCAATAAGGGACTGGGAGGTCACTCACATAGCGCGTGAAAAGAGAAGCAAAACTATTGATACGGCCAACAGGCAACGGCCAACAGGCAACGGCCACAAACCAATGAGCCTGGCTGTATTTTTATGTGGCTGCCAATAGACAGATAAGATCATCGTCATCATCATAATGAAAAATCAAATTATCTAAATACATAAATCGTTGAAGAGCCACTCTTATATCAACTACTTACATTATTTGAGAGGTTCTTTTTACAAACAAAATAAGCAACAATTTACCGCGGATTAAACAACAGTAGCAACAATAGATATGTAAAAAATGTGAGAATTAATTATGTACAACCAAAAGCAATGAGTGAAAATCTATGCCTAGCAATGGAGATTCGATTCATTTTTACAGAAGAGTTTCCAATTTTTTGTGTTGTCTGAATATTTCTCTTACAAATTTGGCAACATTTATTGTTAGTTTATTGTGTTCACTTATCCTCATCAAAGAATCAAATTTATGATCTGATGGATATAGGGTAAAATAATCAGGTATGTAGTTTGTTTTTGAATCTTACAAAGCAGGGCATTTAAGTATTACATGATTCTCATCTCATCTCCAATTTCGTTTGAAGCACACATATCACATTTTCGGTTATTATAATCAATGTTTCTCCATCGCCCAGTTTCTACCAGTAGCCTATGATACGAAGTTCTGAACCCACAAAGATATTGTGATAGATAGATTGGTAGTACATTCAGGTAATTCTCGCTTTCAAAACACGATTTCGTACGCTTATACGTTTGGCCTTTGTGTGATTTTTCCATATCAGAATTCCATTGTTGAATGAATTAGTCTTTGAGATTCAATTTAATTACTGCACCTAAATTTTCAGGTCCATTGAACATATACGTGATCCAAATAAAGGACAGTCCTGAGCTATTAAGGGTATTTTTAACATACGTGATCTATTTAATATTTTCGTTTGTCACTAAACTACTATACAAAATATTTGTTAGTTTTTTTTTTACCTCTGACCATGTTGGCCCAAAAACCCATCATTCTTAATTCAATCGTTATTGATACTGGTAATCTCCCTAAATCCCCATATACCATGTTTAATGTTCAAAATTAATTTGTGATGCTGCAGTTCTAGTTGATCTAGTAGGTTTGTTTTCTCCATCCCCCATACCTCTGCTGTATAAGTTATAAGCGCAATGACCAATGCATCAAAAATTTTCGGCTGTATATCTACTGACAAGCTCATATCCCTAGCTCTGGAAATTACATATCTTATAGCCTTGCCTGTAATCTAATGTATTTGAGTGCACCCAAAAAATCTTCCATTATTCTTAAAGATGACGCCTAAATATTCAAATTCGTTCACTATTTCTAAAAGGTCATTTTTAGAAGTAGAATTTTTATTCCACCTTCCACATTTTGAAAATATCATAATTTTGGTTTTTCCAACATTAAGTTTCCACGTGTCTCTGTATCTAGATAACGAGTCGAGCGAGTGTTGTAATCCTTTTTGAGAAGTAGCAAATAAGACTGTGTCATCAGCATATAACAGTGTGTACAAAGAAATACTTGATCATCATCCAGTTTTACGGTTATGCCTTCGCAACCAGTTTCGGAGGAGAAATGGTCTAGATCATTGAGAAATATCGCAAAAAATAGGGAAGACAAGTTTTTCCCTTGTCTTACCCCAATATTACATGGAAACATGTCACTTAATGTTCCTCCTATTTCTATTAATGATTTAATTTTGGCATACATTTTAATCATTATATATCATAACACTTGCCAGTAATGCCATGTTTTTCAAGTTTCATCAAGATCATCCCGAGACCTTTTCTCCACCTTGTGTCAAATGCCTTTTCGTAATCTACGTAATAGAACAAAACGGGTACAGCTAACGCATGAGCCGTCTATGAGTATTATATCTTTGCATAAGTATTCATAAACTTATGCACCTTCCTCCCGAATTTTCTTTGTTGTTAATGAACAATCCCTTTTGTTCTCAATTGAATGGAGCTGTCATAAAATAAAATAAAGTAGAATATTCGGGGGCAGGGGGCTTACTTGCTAAAAGTGATTTGGAGATATTGGGAGTTAGTTGAGGGCGAGGCTTAATGGAGCTTCTGGCTTAATGGCCATTTGTTCTCCTAAATGCACACTGACAAAGAAAGTGCTGTTTTCTACGAATGATTGAACATGGACAAAAAGCAGCTCAAAATCCCGTCATTTCATGGCTTCTCAAGTAAGACCCACAAATTATTTTATTAGAAAGTTTCATTTGGAAGGATTTCGCTAATAGGCCTGTTTGGATGACTAATTTTGGGAATCGTTGCTTCTTGGGTGTAATTCAGGAGAACCAAACTTTATCTCCAAAACAAATCGGAATACGGTAAATACAGTTCTTGCATATTCTGCGATTTTTTAACTACTTTACCGATTCTTGATGCAAGTCTAGTGGTGGTGCCTTGTCTACACGGTCGGAGCTCCGTATATAAATCTTGTGCAAATTATTCCCTTTCAGAAATACGTAGTTTTTTAATAGACGATAAAGTATGAATTAGAGAGAGTTGAACGTTTCCTAAAGGCCACATGTAACGCCCCTGTTCTATTCAGCACCGAGATGTGCTTGGGCCACCATGTTGACGATTGTTGATTTCAAGCACTTGCATGAATGTATTTGCAGGGGAAACACTGTGCTGAATAAGATTCGAATCAAAGACCTGCTGTCGAATAAAAAAAGTTTTTTGTCAGAATTTGCGATCCCACGTGGAGCACTGATGAAGAGCACAGGAGGAGGGCAAATTTAAGTTTTGTTTTGTAATTGTAACTACCTGAATTCAAAGACAAACAACGATTATTGTGTAGCGTTGACTCAAAAGGTACAAAAGGCGATTGCATGCAAAGTCCTTTTTTTACCTCGAAAAGCTGATATTTTATAGGATATAGCAAGGAGAGAGGCTGCTCTGGAAAAACAAGAAAGTCACTGGACTTCCTCCAGGGTTAAGCAGGTCCAGTTTCATACTTTCATATGTTCCCAGCTACGGTTTATAGGGATAGGAATATCCCACAGCCAGGATCAATGGCGGACTGGCCCACCGGACCACCGTCCCACCGGACCACCGTCCCACCGTCCCACTGTCCCACTGTCCCACCGTCCCACCGTCCCACCGTCCCATAGTCCCACCGGCTCCTTTAAAGTTTGCCAAAAGGGTCCCATCTTTGCAAAAAATGGCCCAATCTTAGGAATGTGGGGCCTTAAGATATCCCATTACGAATAGACGTCAATAACACATATGGTCATAAAATGGATTGGGTCGAAGCTAAATAAAGAATGACTTTTTTAGCTTATGAGAGGTTAATAGAGATTTGGAATTTTTAATATGATAGATTTTTCTGAAATTTTTTATTTTTCATTGACCCAAGTTCAGTTAACCTGTACGGCATCAGCTGTAGAGTTCAATCAAATTTATGCCAGTTAGCAAAAGGTAAGGAGTGATTCAGTAACAAACTCGGCGTTAACTTTTTCTTGTCCATTAAGATAATGCGATGCGAATGATACTTCGACGGGGGTTGCTTCGTCGTCTTCTACACGATTAATCGACTACTTCATAAAGAAGGTTATGTCGATGTAAATGAAAAAAGAAGTTAAGAAATAAAGGAAAAGCGGAAACACATAGAACAGCAGCACATGCCAAGATGAAATTTGTAGCATGAAAAATTTGAGGCGTATGACCAGGGCCGTGAATCCCGGGGGGGGGACAGGGGGACTGGAGGCCCCCCTAAAATATCTGGAGCAAAACGATTTTGCTTGAAAAATTATCGTCATTTTTTTTAAGGAAGGAATCCCTGGTAGCTGGGTTAGAACCAAACTAAGTTTTCTAGGTTATTGCAACAAACGTCAGCCACTATTTATGTCATGGTGGCAAGTGCAAGTTGACTATTGTTGATGGCTGTTATTTATGTTTGCAGAGTGGTGTCAAGTCGGTGACGGTGCCCATGGGGGGATTAGCCCCAAATATTTTGTCCAACAGTCACCCCTTGAAAAAATCTCAAAAAGATGTAAAAAAAGAATCGTTTAAGTAGCCATAAATCTCGATCAATCCACATTACACAAAAATTCTGAGTTTTGCTTTTAACGGTAGCTAGGAACAAGGCAAAAAGGCAAAGAGGGCAAGAAAAAAATATAATTTGCGTAAAAGTACCACGTCGATAAAGAAGTACCTTTGCATTTAATAAAGAGAGAGGCAAGGACTACACTTTTTATTATAGAATTGCAATAAATTTTGCCCAGCCTCGATTTTTCTAAGAAAAGTTTCGCTTTGAGCCCGAATATGTTCTTAGATATATCCCTATTTTTTCGAATCCGATATGGTTTCAAAAAAAAATCGCTTGCTCTCGAATAGAAAACAGTTGCGAATATTGTGAAAAAAGCAACTTCTGAAAAATGTGCCCTCTACGTCAAAGGTCACCTTTTCTTTCTTTCCCCAACGTCTGTCAGTAGAGTTTAAGCGTGACTCTTCCCCTCCCCAATTTCTTCCAAAGACAATAATCTGTATTTTTCTAAGAAACGTCGTCTTGTCTATCCTGAACGGTATAGTATTTTGTTAAACTTGGTATAGGAAATGCTATTTTGGCCTTTCTAGAACGTCTGATTGCAAAAATATTCTTCCACGTCGGACCCAACCATGGTGGGTCATCATACGTCACTAAACTTGATTCTCAGCCCCCCAGAATTTATTTCTTTCCCCTGTCTCTGAAAATTTTATCAATTTAATTATAAAACAGTCAAAATTCTCAGAAATATCTGTAAATACCTTTTATAGAGTTGAAAAAATCTTACCAAATCTTAAAGTCTTCATTTTTGTTTTATATAATACCTATCTGTTTTGTTACTGCCATAAGCAGCTGCACACTTAAAATTCATTCGCTCTGCTGACCCTACCTCCCCCGCCCCAATTGACAGGAGAGATTTACGGCCCTGCGTATGACATATCAGAGCTCAACATATCATACCCTGGGTGCCAGAGCCGCAGAGAGTCAAAGGATGAAGAACGGGGGAAGGAATTGCGAAGGAGAATGAAAGAGGAAAGGGGACCTTATCAAGAGGGAAAATGAAACTTCTGATAACATTTGATTGAAATTGTTTTCGAAATGATAAACCTAAAAGTTTTGTGAAAAATATAGTTTGTAAGCAACCAATTTAGCGAATGATTACCAAAAATTAAAGGGAACCTTCTTGCTATAATTTAGCTATAATATCACGATTAAGATATCAAATTTTCGTATATAGAAATGATTCGCTTTAGATTTATTTGTCGCTAAACAGGTTTTCCAATTTGAATTTTTGATAGAAATTTGTACAATCCAATAGACGTTCAATGTATTCCGCATGTGAGCCACAACTTCTACAAAACGAATCGTTGTACCGTCCTTTTTAGTTTGCATTTTTTTAGGTCTGCCATCTTTAGTTTAAGTTTCAGTAAGGATGAGGCTTGATCTATACATGTTTTGGCCCCCACAACAAAAACCTCAACTTTTTCATCTGATGCCGTCTGATACTTCCATAACTTGATGAACAGAGCCAAAATAACAGTGATTCGTCAACAAGCTTAAGATCTTTTATCGGCAATGTCTCAACTGATTTTGATATATTTGAATAAATTTGGATGTATTTCATGGTGATCTTTTATTTGTACGGAAGATGAATCATGCCCGTCTTCCAGACATGCACTAGCCCCCGTCTCAAGGTCATTGCACATGCGCATTGTCACTCGAAGCCCTGGCGGGAAGTTCTTGAGTTGTGTGGCCCCAGACAGAACAGCTGTGCGAATTCTGTTATTAATGCGCATGTGCTATAACCCTGCAACACTAATTGGTTTAAGACGGACTGATTCAAAAATTCCATAAATTGGTATTGGGGCGTCATACTTTAGAACTCTATTGTCTCATAGTTTTGCATTCTTTTGATAGCTAAGTGGATAACCAATGAAAGCTAATTTGATTTTTTTGGGCCAGTGGTTTTCATATGACGCTCGCGTTATCCTTTTTTCTGCCAATGTTGTCGCACAATGGCAATAAATGTCACGGTGTCTAGAGAAAACTGGATTAGGCGAGAATTGACTTCATCCAAAAACTTTCATAAGCTTGATTTCACAAGAAAATTTATGATTTTTTCTTTCCACTTCTATGTATTTCAAAAACTTGATCCCGAAAGGGGACTTGCCTCGTTAAGGTCGTTACTCAGAGTTTCGGGCAAGTTCCTCAAGAGTTTTAACAACCTGACGTGGTTTTCGTTTTAACATCCAAATGACAGGTCAAAATTTGTCCGAAAATTTATTTGTCCGAACTGCCAAAAACATGTTCGAAAGTATTTTTGCCGAAGTTAATTGTCAGAAATCTCATCCACTGAAAAATTTTGTCCTCGTATAAGTTAACGCATGCGCTTGAAGAGAATCAACAGACATATATACCAATGTTTTAAAAGGTATTTCAAATTCAATTTGTTTTGGCATTGAACTTTATCCAAATACAAAATTGCATGGGATGTCTGGTGACAAAAGGGAATAGGTTAGCTAGTTTTATATCTGTTCATTTCTTTTAAAGTGTTTTTTCTACATTATCCTCCTCAATATTGCACTACTTTCACATCTACCATTCTTGCCGAAAGTCCTTAGAACACCCTTCTGCAGTCAATGAAAGATTTTGATGAAATAAAGGTTTCCGGCCGTAAGATACAGAAATATCCCCCCCTCTCCCCCAAAACGATGTTGGTTGCAAAGCCTATTACTTACCCTAGCTGATAAAGTGACATTGGATGAATTTCAAGCTTTGAAACTGTTGTTATTCAACATCGTTTCAAGGGAGAGAGGGGGATGCGATACTGAAGTAATGCGATATTTTAGCTTAGTGTACCAAGACTTTTGGCAACCATTGTACATAGGCTGGACAGAAGGGCCATTTTATGTTGTCTTACTTCAGAGGCAATCCAAAGTCTAAAGAAAAGAGGAAATGATAACCTTGATCACTGAAGCCACAGAATTAGAAAAATTATTGTTATTCTGTTATTCCTATTCTGTGGTCTAGATGTTTTTTAGGATCTACAATCGTTCACTAAAATTGCGAGACTGCATTGATTCCCCCCTTCCTTCCCCCTTTCCCAATAATGCGATGTTATTAGTGTGGTTTTCTTAAGATGAAAATGGCGATCTTAGTTTCAAAACAACAAAGCTTTCGTGGGGAGAGGCATTACGATTAATGCCTTTTTAGTGGGATACAAAATGTTTTCAAAGAAAACATTGGGAAAGAAATCAATGCCCTCTGTTGTGAGGATTGTAAGACGTGGACTTTCTAACAGCAAGGTGGAAACAACACAAATTGAGGCCCAAACCCCTCATACCCCCTCAACCCTCTTTGCCCTCAGCCTTGGCTCTAGGTATTAAAGAAATGTATATATTTCATCTATTTGATAACATACATAACACGATGATTGTTAAAAAAATATCTTCATTATTATTAACTTTATTTAGGATTATGATGTAGGTGTTCATTTTTGAAATGGTTGAAATTCCTGTATCTTAAAATCAGATGTCCTTGAAAAGCTGTAGCTGTTGTGAGGATTGTAAGACGTGGGCTGCAATGATGAGCTTGAACTTAGTTTTATCTCATTTTCATAAACATAGCAACTATTTACATTATAAAAGCAATAACTCAAAACTCTGTTGTAAACTCCATAACTTGCGAACTCGACTCGACTCAACTCGTAAACTCAACTAACTCAAAACTGCCACATCTCGCATTAGCACGAAAACGAGGTTGTGACGTACGCATTATAACACATTTCCCCGGTTTGATTCGTGACATGATCAAACCCAAAGTAACTAAAGATATTAGCATTGAATTAACTTGATTACATATAACAAAATCAGAACAATAACAAAGTTAAAGATTATATGCTGCAAAAACGTTAATGCATAATTTGTCTTCGAACTGTCTCTCCCAAAACTGTGCTCTACGTCTAGGTCTACTGTTTATAAATATACTAAAATGCGTGCGGTACAATATGATGAATAAGTAACAATCAATGTAAGTAAATTGTACCAGGAAATTTTTTTAAAATAATTAACGACGTTTCGAGCATAGCCCGTTATCAAGTCTTGCCTACTGTTTGCCTTCTTAAGTAACTGCGTACGCTGCTGCGAAGGCGATTGCGCTGCTGGCTGCAATGGCAACTGCGTAGGAGGATTTTGAAAAGAATCCGTCAAATGGTTAGGTTTTACTTTTAAAGGTATTAGTAATGGGCGACGTAAAGTCTTCATACCTATTTTGCCATCGTCTGATCCTAGTCGGATAACCGCTGATCTTACCACCTCGTCTTTACCTACTATGAGCTCTTCTACGCGGCAGATTTTCCAAAAACTCCTTTTCTTGCTCTCATCCTTCAATAAAACTACATCTCCAATTGCAACATTTGGCTTCGATTGATTTTTTGTTGGTCTGTATTCTTCCATTAACCCTTATAAATACTCGTTTCTCCATCTCCGTGTAAACTGACCTAAAAGAAGTCTATTATATCTTGCACGTTTAGACAAAGTTTCGTAAACACTAACAATTTCTAGGTATCTGCTTGATTGAGGCAAATGCAACAAATTTCTTCAGTTTATAAGATGTGAGGGGGTCAATAGATACGAGATTCCCTCGGTATCGTCGTGTACGTAAGTTAAGGGGCGTGAATTGATAACACCCTCAACCTCTACTTATATTGTACGCATTTCGTGATAGTCTAATAGGGCTCGACCAATGACTTTTATGATACAGCTCTTAACACTTCTAATTAACTTTTTTTCCGTTATAAGTTTCCACTCAACACATCTCAGAGACAAGGACTCGTAAAACCTGGGTGATCTTAGTAACTTCTTAACCTCTAAACTTGCTGACCTAAATGTTTTGGCATTATCACTCCAAAGGATAGAAGGTAACCCTCTACGTCCGCAAAATCTTCGGAATGCTTTAAAAAAACGCATTAACCTCTAATGACTCTACTAATTCAAGATGAATCGCTTTTGAAGACATACTGGTGAACAAACAAACATAACACTTTTTAGTGTCTCCTGGTTGTAGCTGTGATAAGAGAAACCTTAAAAAATTAGCTGTTTGCTAGCAAAAGAGGCTGTGAATGTTTTGGAAAGGGCATACTGTAGTTAAAGAGAGGATTTGTATGTGAACGACATATTTTGCAGATTAAAAGAGGATGGACCTAAAAGGTAGATTTTGGCATGAGCAGAAACCATGGACCACAAACCTGAGATGATAACATTAATTCTTTTGGCTTAAGTCAAATCTTGAGAGCAGTTAATCCATAGTTTCAGCTGATGAAATGTTTCTGATGACCAAAGTGTCAGGCACAAAGGCACACATTTTTATGTAACCTACCAGTTTTTGAGCAGATATGCAGTGTCTAGGGGGCGCTCAAAAACTGGTCTCGTTGCTTAAAAATCGGTTTGGTATTCCTAGATGAAGCTAGGAAGAAAAATCACCATAACTAAAATTCGTTTATGCAAATTAACCCCAAACAAAAGGTCCCCACCGCCCGGCGATTAAGAGGGATTCCAGCCAAAACCGCTCGGCCGATTTTCAAAATTCCTTTTTCCCCTTCATCCTCGATCTTTGGTTCACCATACTACGGTCTCCTTTTTCTCCTTTTCGCTTCCGTTCCTGAGATATTTACGGTTTTCTCTCGGGTTCGTTCGAAATCCTCTCGATCACGATTAGTGCTCTCCGCGGTCTTTGTCCCGCCTTTCTAAAGGTTCTTTCTCTCTCTTTTCTCTTGCTCTCTACAAAAGGTTTCAAAACTCCTTCCAACAGCAACCCTTCAATTTGAACGGAGGCTTTTCAAATTCGTTTCGCTTTCCACAAAGAATCTACTGTGTGCCGATAATTTAGGTGATTTGGAATTGGATGATAAATCTACGTGCACTGCTGGTTGGCATTCCTTTTCGAACTCGAAGCGGTCGTCGACGGTCGGTGTCTTGTGCTACAGCTACAGCTCCAGTAGTCAATCGTGCTGGGTGCTCTCGACAGACCTCAGGTGAGTCTTGCTAGCTTTTTTTATCAACTGATGATTTTTTATCGATCGACGATTGAACCCCGTTTCTTATTTTGTTTGCAAGAGCCATGTGATTCGTGCTTTTGACAATCTTCCTTTTCTTCGTTTTAGTAGCTACGTACGTACGGTACGCACACTGCTGCCCGTTTTTCGGTTCTGCGATGGCTGCTGGCTGTTCCCCTTCTTCACTGGCATCAGAATCGATGGCATGTGAATACAGGTAAGCGCTGTTGTTGTTCTTACGTGTTTTCGATATTACTTTTTTCAAATGATTTTGTGCTCATTTCGATGAAATTACACTAAAAACCGGCTGCTAGACCCCCGCTGCGAACGAAAACTTTTTACCTCTTCTCGTGGTTTTGTGCTTAAAGGAAACTGGATTGGCTTTATTGCAATCAAAGTATGAAGAATTGTGGTAGATTTTTCCTGCTGTTTATTCTTGATGCAAGAAAATTTGATTTTCATAGGAAACCGGTTGTAATGCGAATTATGTAATCCCGCCAGCCCCCAACTTTTTATGCCTATCGAGAATCCTTTGCAGCAACTTTTCCTAACCGCCTTCCTTTTTTGTAGATAAACGATCGGATTCGCTGACTTTTTGGTTCAACAAGTGAGTATTTTTCTATTAAAATTTCACTTTTTGTGAGATTTTCCCACTGAGAATGAGATGGGATTTGCCTGCCTCTTGAGTGACAATTATTCTAGAAACCATTTCAAATGACTTTATGCTTATTTGGGTGAAATTACACTAAAAACCGGTTGCTAAAAGGAGTCGCTAGACCCGCCACGAACGCCTTTCTCTTAATGTTTTACCTCTTCGTAGTTTTGTCCTTCAAGGAAGATGGATTTGCTGTATTGCTCGCTTCACAAGAACAAGTTCAAATGATTTTATGCTTAGTTTGATGAGATTTCACTAAAAACAGGTCGCATAAAGGGGTGGCTAAACCCTCGGGGCGAACCTTTTTTTCTGAAATTTTTACAAAGCATTATTACTATGGATTTCCTTAAAAAGTGCTTTCATTAACCATGGAATAACATCTTAATTATTTGTGATGTTCTTCATCTAGATCAAAGATCGTTTCAAGCAATAATTATGACCCAGACGTGATTCTTGACTGTGGAGAAAAGGACTAAAGTTATATAGATTAGCTGTTGTCCGTAAATTGTATTTTGTTAATTTGTTGTTGGAGTAAGAATCATTTCTGATGCACGAAACTTTGGCTGTTTTCTATCTTTCCATTTCTTAAGTGCTTTGTTGCTGCAGTGTTTCAAAAGCTAATTATGACGAAGATATGATATGTGGACCTCAAATGTATAGAACTGCGTAATAACTTTATAACTCTTTGGGGTTTAGAAGAGGTGTTTGATTCAGAATAAACAGGGAGCTTTGAGGGTGGCCCTCAATTATGTCTAAAAACAGCATCACAAGTGAACAAAGATTGAACGAAGTGCTTTAAAATGAACATTACAGCTCTAAGAATGACT